GGACAGTGAGAGAGAAGAGAGAAAGGTCTTCCTTTTTAATGGAAAAAATTTTTATAAGTTTTAAAATTTCTATTGGAAGGCAGGCAGAGAGAAAGGGAGGTGGGGGCTCCCATCTACTGGCTGATTCCCCAAATCCCCACAGCAACATCGCTGGGCCAGGCTGAAACCAGGAGAACTAACAACCTAATCCAGGTCTCCCACAGTAGGAACACAGCTGGAATGCGAACCCAGGGACTCTGATTTGGGTGGGATACAGGTGTACTAGGTGCTGTCTGAACTGCTATGCCAAATACCCTTTCTGTTATAAAACTTAATTGAGTTAATTTGCAGAGTACCATTCATTTGTAAATAATAATAATAACAACAACAATAATAATATGGAGAGTTCATGGCTACTCTTTATCTAGTTTCCCCAAAAGGTACCTAATATCTTGAGGCCAGCATCATGGCACAGCAGATAAAGTCACCACCTGCAGCACCTGCATCCCAAATGGGCACCAGTTCGTGTCCCAGCTGTTCCACTTCCGATCCAGCTCTCTGCTTATGTGCCTGGGAAAGTAATGGAGGATAGTCAAAGTTTCTGGGCTCCTGCTACCCATGTGGGAGACCCGGGGCTCTCTCCCTGTCTCTCCCACTAACTCTTTCAAATAAATAAATACATCTTGCATCACCACAAGGATCATTCAAGTTGTCCTTAGATAACTATATCTACTTTCCTCCTACATACTTATCCTTCATTTATTTTTCTATAAATTTGACCTTTCAAGAATGTCATATGAAAGGAATCATTTCACAACATTCTTTCAGAATTCTTCATCTAAGACATTGGTCAAAAAATACTTTGCAACTGTTTCCTCCAAGTCTGTAACTTGTCTTGTTTCATCTTCACATAAGCTTTAAAATAGAAACATTTTATAATTTGATAAGGTCCAATTTATCAACTTTTTCTTTTGGAACTCATGGATTTTGTGTCATCTATGAATTTTTTATTTTCCTAGAAGTTTTGCAGTTTTCTGTTTTACTTTTATGTTCATAACCCATTTTTGGTGACAGTAGGTATAATGGGTAATGTTCAAGCTTTATGCTGATGGGTGTTCATGGCCCCAGCACAATTTACTAAAAGAATAGCCTTCCTTCATTGAATTGCTCTTTGAGATGTCTTCAAAAATGTGAATCTGAAATTATTTTAAAAGTTTAATTTTTAAAGTACGGAACAATTTTTTGAAAGATTTATTTTTTATTTATTTGAAAGGCAGAGTTACAGAGGGGGAGAGAAGGAGAAAGAGAGAGAGAGATAGATCTTTCATCTGCTGGTTCATTTCCTAAATGACCCCAATAGCCGGGGCTGGACCAGGCTGAAACTAGGATAACAGAGCGTCTCCCAGGTCTCCACATAGGTGCAGGGGCCCAAGGACTGGGGCCATCCTCATCTGCTTTCACAGGCACATTAGCAGAGAACTGGATCAAAAGTGAAGCACTCAGTACACAAACCAGTATCCAAATGGGATGCCAGCACCACAGCAGCCCCAAAAGATTAATTTAAAAAATCCATTTGGGTGTGATGAAAATGTTTTGGAAGTAGATAAAGGTGATGGCTATACAACATTGTGTTTGTACCAAGTACTACTGAATCACATTCTTCAAAGTGTTTTGTTATGTGTATCTCACCACAATAAAAAAAAATAGTGGAAAAAAGCTTGTCCTAGCTAAGCTTCCAATCCCTGTCTTAAATAATTCAGTGAAATTTATCAATAGTTGCATATGAGAGGCTCTTTTTGCATCATCATGCAAACTATTCTTTTCTCTATTATTTGTATACCACTTCCAGATACCTCATTGTGAAAGGTAGGTAGCATCCTAATGCCTAATGTCTGGAGTAAACATTTTTTTTCTTTTCAACTTTTATTTAATAAATATAAATTTCCAAAGTACAACTCTTAAATTATAGCAGCTTTCCCCCCATAACCTCCCTCCCACCCACAACTATCCCATCTCCCACTCCTTCTCCTATCCCATTCTTCATCATGATTCATTTTCAATTATCTTTATATACAGAAGATCAACTTAGTATATACTAAGTAAAGATTTCAACAGTTTGCACCCACAAAGACACACAAAGTATAGAGTACTGTTTTTGAGTAGTAGTTTTACCATTAATTCTCACAGTACGGTCCATTAAGGGCAGAGGTCCTACATGGGGAGCAGGTGCACAGTGACTCCTGTTGTTGATTTAACAATTGACACTCTTATTTATGACGTCAGTAATCACCCGAAGCTCTTGTCATGAGCTGCCAAGGCTATGGAAGTCTCTTGAGTTCACCAACTCCAATCTTATTTAGACAAGGCCATATTCAAAGTGGAAGTTCTAGGAGTAAACATTTTTAACAGTGAGTCAACATGTAGGCAGACAGAGCAGCAAGTTTTCAGTAGACCTAATGGTTCTGGCAATCAATCCCCTCCTGTCCTTAGTCATTCTTTGGCCACTGTTATATCCTAGCTTGTCTTCATCTCTCTGAATTAAAGTGCCCTCAACAGAACACTCTATTATATCATGTGGTGACCACTGCCTTTTGCTCAGAGCACACAGCTCTAGAATCATATATTTTATCACTCTTCTGGCAAAGGGTTCACAGGCCTCTTCTAAATGAGACACAGTTATTCAAGGGCAGCTTGTCTGTGACGTGTTTGAATTTCCAGTGTGTACTGAAACTTCCTTGCATGTATTCACTTTCATTAGCAGTCAAAGTATCCATATTGAAGTCGAAAATTCCTGAGCCTACGTAATCTTAGAAATGGGCTAACTCCTTCCCAGTTCAGGGGGTTTATATTATCAGAAACCAGTTTCAACAATTCAATAAGATGTGTATATTGCTGCATTCAAATAAGGCCAATCTCAAGCTTGAAAACATCATGCTTAGGCTATGTCTTTTAAACACTTTTAGTTAAGAAAATTAAGCCTTTTACCTTCAAGTCATGCAACTCATGATACTTGGCCATCAAGCATTGCAAATTTAGTCCAGAAATCATGGCAAATTGAAGCCAACTTTAAGCATAATTAATGTCCTCTAGTGTAGCAGCTCAACACAGGCTGAAGTGATGACAAAGGAGAGATATTTGCATTTCTGTAAGGATGAGCTTTTCACAGCTCCTTGCTTCTGGGACATAGAGGGATGATGAGAGAATGAAAACTATAATATCACTAATTGCTTTTAATTCTAATCCATTGGTAATGTTCATTTATGCTGATATTTACATTTTCTTTCTTTAAGCCTGATCAGCCTCCCTTTGGATGGACTGTACCATCTTTACCATCTCGTACTAATGAATTGACAATTTTTTCTCTTGATGTTTCTAGAAGAATTTTCCTATATTGTTTTGATAAATATTTATATTCCAAAGACATACAAGTCCTCCACTACAAATGTCCTATTTTTGTGTGAGTTTGGGAAACACTGTAAGCCCTGTCTCTCTTGCAAAATCAGAATTTTTGTTAGTTTACGAGAAAGTTGGTGAAATGCTATAATAATTTGTTAATTCTGTTTCTTAAACTTGTTTTTAATCACAAAATATGCTGGGGGGAGGGAGACCTCAGTGTATGACCTAACAGCATCTTTGGAACCCAAGTTCAGGGAATGGGATCCTACAAGAGCCACACTTGCTGATTTTATATTCTTACTCTTATACTAAAGCTGCAACATCAAACAATAGCAATCTAGTTATTGATTTTTGTTTCCTCTAATTATTATTGCTAATATTATTATTGGGTGGCCTGCACAATCAATAACATACATACTCTCTGATTTCATAATTATTTCTCATCATCGTCAACTGCTTATTTTATCATGCTCACAATGTCCAAAGTCCGGACTTCTTAGCCTGGCATCCAGAGACCCACGTCCTAAAGCTTCAACGCTTTTCTGCACATATCTCTTTTTAATCACATCCACAGATCTTTATCATCTGTCCAGCCAGACCCACACAGCATCCCTCAACACTTGGTGCATTTATAGCTCAGTGCCTGTCTTCATGCTAGTCCCTTCTGATGCTTAATTTTACTCTTCTTGAAAGCAGTCTACCTTTTCTGACTTAGTCTTCTCTCACCATTTTAGAATTTTCTTTTTTTTTTTTAATTTATTTATTTTTTGACAGGCAGAGTGGACAGTGAGAGAGAGAGACAGAGAGAAAGGTCTTCCTTTTTTTTGCCGTTGGTTCACCCTCCAATGGCCGCCGCGGCCGGCGCACCGCGCTGATCCGATGGCAGAAGCCAGGTGCTTCTCCTGGTCTCCCATGGGGTGCAGGGCCCAAGCACTTGGGCCATCCTCCACTGCACTCCCTGGCCACAGCAGAGAGCTGGCCTGGAAGAGGGGCAACTGGGACAGAATCCGGCGCCCCGACCGGGACTAGAACCCAGTGTGCCGGCGCCGCAAGGTGGAGGATTAGCCTAGCGAGCCGCGGCGCCGGCCTGTATTTTCTTTATCAATGTTCTCCACCTCTATACTGTAAACTCCCTAAGTTTCCACATACCCAGTACTTGGTAAATACTTGGTAAGTACTGTGTTCATGTTTCTCACTGCCTAACCTCTCATTTTGTACTGTTGTATATTGCTATGTTTGTAGTTACCATTTGGGTTTGTGCACTGCATCAGTCACCTTAAATATACCAAATTCCTCAACCTTAGAATTTGGAAATTATATACATTTTTAAAACAACTCATAAATAAGTACTGAGTACGCCTCCATAGATTGGCTAATTCAGGGAACAGTACAAGTCTCTCGTCACTTGTGACACTTTCCTGTGCTGTGGCCCAGGGAAATCTGCTTTCCCAGCCCCTGCCTAACAGTCACCTTCTCTTCAGTTCTAGTACATTTGTTTCAGGCATGTGTCAAGTTTCTTTTACTGATTTGTGAGCTCTTCAAGGGAAAAATCTGTTTCATGGGTTTTGTCTTTTAAACAGGTGAAAATATAATAGAAATTCAATTTAAATGGTAAGAAGCTGAACTGGTCATACTACATTTCACTTTATTGACATTTCTCATATAATGTTATTTTCCCATCTTTTATGCAGATAAAAATAAATGATATAAAATACATAATGCACTTTGATAATTTTAACCATTCACAAAACAGAGAGTGACTGAAACTATGTTACATGGATATTTTACAAAGGAAAAAACAATTAGTATAATAAGACATTCAGATGAAATTTATCATTAGGGTTTGGGTGTTGCATCATGTTAAATATGGATACCTTTAAAACAGTCACTATTTATATAACCAATTTGACATTGTACTATTTAAAATAATGAACAATGTATAAATGAGTACTTATAAAAATACTTTAAGCAAAAAGCTATGTTCCACTGATTTGCTTGGCAGTTACAAAAATATATATTCATCTGAGACTAATAAATTTGCTTGAGGCATTAGATATTCAAATTCAAATGCATGTTTTCTAAAATGTTTCTCTGATTTAGTATTCTTGGCTACATATATTATATATGTACATGGTATGAGAATAGGTTTGTATCACAAATAATGTCATTATAAGTAAAAGACTTAGGTGATCAATAACATAGAGTGATGTTGTGAAGGTTTTCCCAACAGACCAAAACATATACAGATCTACTGGCTGTGCCTCATACAAAGTAAATTCTCAAAAACAATTGTTGAATGGATAAATGAGTGGATAGCATTCATTATGTTATTTACATCTGAAATTAATTATCCAAAGCTATCTATTTCTGGCAGAAATAGAGTTTAGAAATTCAACCATTCTGTTTATTCAGCAAACTTCTCAAGGATAGAGTCAGGCAGGTCAATTGCCTCCATGTTGGAAAGCAAATGAGGGCCAGTGATCAAAACGTGTTCTCCCAGATCTACTGAATACATGGTTACAGAGCTCTGACCTGCACAGTACAGATGTTCAATATAACTGAACTGAACAACTCCATTTTTCATATCTTCAGCAAGATAAGACATAAGAACTAAATTTTGATAATGTGTTATCATAAAAGTAGTAGGCATACATAACTCTAAGACATATACATACACATATATAACTCATTCAGTAGACTTCAGATATCTCTTCTCAGTGAGAGAAGCAAGCCATCCTGAGTGAAGAGGCCTGTGTCTATGAAACAACTTCCACAAGCTGTAGAGACCATACATCAACAGTCTTCCATGCATGCCCAGGGGATGCTCGGCCATATAATGCTGAGATCACTAATGTTAATGGCAAAGATTTGAAGTAGTATATTTTTCTCTGAAACCAAATTCTACATATTAGGACAATTATGGAACTGCAGTACCTAGGAAGATAATAGTCATATTTGCAAAAGGAATATCCTGGGACCACTTTTGGCACAGACTCCTCTTGTAACAGTTTACTACCTGTTCTACTTTATGCAGGCTGAGGCAGGGCGGAGGCTCATCACTAAAATTTTAACCATTTGATAAAGAAGATTTTTCTTAATCAAAATTCACATCATGCCAAACCATTTTAAGAGCTTTGTTTCCCCTAGTATTAAATGGGAAAACTGATAATTCATTCAGCATGTTGATTAATATATTACATGTCAATGAAATTGTTACTGTTAGACTTATTAAATTATAATTTAGTAAGATAATTCCTATGAAAATAAATCTTACAAATTGAACATAATTTCCAAAAATTCATAAGCAATTTAGTCAAATACTAAAGATTAGTTTCAATACCACTAATGCAGAAAGTGTATAAATGGTCTTTAAAGTAAAATGTAAAATATAGATGATTTTAAAGTAAAGGAATTCATTTTAAATTTCAATATTAATGGTTTTTCAAAATATAAGTGATTAAATATATTGACTACTCTGCATTTATGCCGTTATACTATGTAGAAAAAGACTTATTTGAACTACTGAAAGAGCACTTTAGTATTTCTAATTCAAATCTATTAGTTTCAAATATTTTCTTCACAAAAAATGCTTCCTAATCAGTAAATACTAATTTTGGCTATAAAATGTATATGTGTGAAGAATTAAAAATAGTTTGTTTTCCTAAATTAGTTAATACGCCCCTTCTGATTGGCTTTCTAATTTCTTTCCTTAGCTCTTACGGTTACCATCAAAGTCAACTTCAATTCATTTTGAATTTAATGATTACAAAATTTAAATTGAGTCAGAACACACTATTTCAAAGTCATATATATATTGTGTGTGTGTGTGTGTGTGTGATACTATCATAAGAAGTCATTGTTGGGGCAGGTGTGGGATCCCGTGGTTAAAATGCGGACTAACATGACCATGCCCTGGTTCCAATCCCTGATAATGAAGATCCTATGAGGCAGTGGTGATGGCTCCCATTATTGAGTTCTGCAACCCACATGGAAAAACTGGACTGAGTTCTCAGGTCTTGCCGTTTCAGCCCAGTTCTGGCTGCCATGGGCATTTGGGGGAGTAAATAAGTAGATAGGAGCATTCTCTTTCTATGTGTCTGCCATTCTCTCTCTGGGTTTCAAATAATTTTTTTTTAAAAAAAGAGAAATTGCCCTCATTTAAAAATAAACATTGTTGCTGCATGAAGAGTGGCCAATGATGGTGCAGGGCATGCAAGCCACTCAAAAAGTGCTTTAAAGAGAGAGAAAATAGTAGGGGGCTTCAGATTGAAATACTGGTTTATAAAATAAAGCTTACCCTCTTAACTCAACATAAAATCTCCAATGTAAGTGCAACTAGCACAGAAATCTCTCCCTCTTTGAATGATAACAGAGCAATATAAATTTCTAGTCTTCTCAAACTCCTCATAGTTTTCACATATTAAATTTTGTAATATCAGGAACATTTCTAAGATACTGTGGAATGCATAAGATGTACAAACTATGAATTACTACTCAACAGTGATTTTTTAGTCAGGACACGTATTAAAATCTAAAGTTTCTAGGCAGGGCCTTCTCTTTTGGCTGGAGAGTGGCAGTAGTCCAAACTCAGAACCTAAGCATAGCTAGCCTGCTCTAGCAACGTTTGAAGGTACACTGGTTGCAGTGGAGCACATGGCATTTATATAAACACTTCTATAAACTCAAGGCCAGTTACATGTCCAGGGTCATATGGAAGCCCATTATGGTACTGAAAAAATTGTCACTATCCATTCATCCATTAGAATTTTTTTTTACTGTTACCACTGTTTTGGAATTACAGTCAAGTCTTATATAATACACTAGTCTAGCTTTTCAAAACACAACTAAGACTGTTACCTTCAATTATAGGGAATATGATATGAAATAATTTTCAGATTGCTACAGTGTTGGGTTACCTCTAAATGTTTATCCAGGATGGTAAATATCCAGAAATATTTTCAGATACTAAAGGCATTTTAAATATTTCCATTCACCTATATGTAAATATAAGAGGCATAATTTGAAATACTACAATAATTTTTATATTAATAAGGAAAAGTAGTATAATGAATTAAGAAGACAGACTTCCTGGGTTTAAATTCTGGTTCCACCACTTACCAACCATGTGACCTTAGGCAAGTCACTGGGTTATCCTTTGTTTCAGTCCCTCAACTATAAAATGGAGTGATGAAGAGTATTATTTCACATTGTTGTTGTCAGGATGAAGTGAAATGGTAACAAGAAAAATTGGGTAAGACAACTGGAGGTTTACTTGACACATAACGGTCACTTAGTGTTAGCTACAACTTTTATTATAATCAAAATTACACTGGCTGATTATGATATCAACCATTACTAATCTTTGAGCATGGAGCAAGAAACAAGAACCTGGATGGAAGGAACACTTCTACATTTAATCCCCATAACAATATTAAGCAATTCCATTTTACAGAGAAGACAGAAATATGTTAAAGATACTACAATTGTAGGTAACTTGTCCTGTGAAATATAGCCACGTACAAATGAATTGTTTAAGTGACCCCTTCATGGCTCTACTGAGCATTACTGCTTCCTGGATAGTGATTAGGAAATAGTAATGAAAATATGGAAATACTTGCTCTTAATCAGCTGTATTCACTTCTGTGGCCTACAATGAAAAAGCCAAGTTTTTAGTACAGGAAAATCACAACTCAGGCCTTCCAGATCCCTTGCCAATTACATCAAGAATGTTAAATCCCTGAAAGTTAAAGTTATATTTAATATTGGTATTTATGTAAAGGGACTATCTATATCACATTCAAAACATTCAACTTTTTTTTAAATTTTTGATGATGGTTTCCATATTTTTTAAAAAACATATGGACTCACCATAATGTCTCAAGTGCCAAATAACAATTACTATCCTTGGCAGGTATTATATATGTCTAATACATACGTAACACAGTATTTTTGTTATTCAATACACAACTAGTAATGAGGTTTCTGATGACAGCTTGAAAATCATTATCAAATTTCATTAATTAAAATTTAATAATGGCTTGTCTATACTGTAGTTATGAAAAGCATTTCACATAATAACTTAGTCCAAATCCATATGCAGTCGTGTGTTGCATAATGATGTTTCAGTGGATGACAGAAAACATAAACAGTGGTGGCCCTGCAGGATGACATCACCTAGTGATGTCACAGCCATCTTGTTCGTGTAAGTACATTCTACAACATCTGCACAATGATGAAGTTGCCTAAACTGCATTTCTCAGAATACATCTCTATTAAGTGATACACGACTGTAATGATCATGATTGCAATAGTTGTTTTGTTTAGAAAATTACAGATTTTAAATAGATTAATGTATTCACCATGCTGAAATCACTATCATATATATGAATAAATGCTACACATTACATGTACTTCCATAAACTATTAAAGTCCTTAATATTCCTTTTAAGTAGAACAAATAAAGCTTTATTTCTCTTTTACCCATACCTTTTTAGAAAAATATTCATGATGGTGGATTCTTTTAAGGGTATCACATCTTATATGAAGGCCTCTGCAAAACTGAGTTTTAGATATCTAAGTTAAAGTTTGAGTTTTTAAGTTGATTTATTTTTCTCTTTTTCTCGATAGCCACCCTTCTCCCCTCACCTGCTTGGTCTCCTCTTCCTTTATCCTGTAGACCCTGACAGCACAGCACCCAAATATACATGGCCGAAAGTCAAGCCCAGTGTAGAGGCCAAGGGTAGCACCAGCTCGCTGGAATTCTCCATGAGCAAGGGGTACCTGAAAGCAGTTGGTAGAAATTCTTTCTGGGAGCCTCCATCAGTTCTCTTCTCTACTGAGAAATATGGGAGTACTTCAAAGGCTCATGGAAAGTAGAATTAAAATATAAGCTTACTGTGATGCTAAAAAAGAAAATCTGAACTCTATGCATATTCAGAAGCCCTTACTAGAAGAAGTAACAAATGCTTTTCCATCTTTCACACATAAACGACTTTCTCATAGGCAAGTGGAGACTGAACATCTATGCCACCCAGACTGTACCATCCTTAACATTTTTGCATGATGACTGGTCATGTTTCCTCAGTGACAGATGTCTTCAAGTGAAAATATCCATTACCATGTATATCCATTTGGGGAAGATGAAAACAAAACAAAATAATTTTAATGAATGGAAGAGGAAGCACAATGGTTAATTTTTATCCATGATGATTTTTTATAAATTCCAGGGATGAACGTTATGCTCAAAGATGAATATTAAACATCAATACATAAATCAGTTTGTGAAGGTAAATTAAATTAACGAATGCCTATGCATTTCCAGCATAAATATCCAGGTATAAACCGAGCATTAGTCATTCACACCATGATGGAAGATTCAGAGGCAAAATGCATTTCTTTATCTGTAGTGGAGAACATTCAGCCAGTGTGCACTTTGGCTAGGTCAGTGTTCAGAAGCTTCGTCACACCTGGTTCCTGGAGAATTTGCTTCATTCTTCTCCAGCTGGGGGAGGAGGCTCACACAACCTGTACAACCTAGAGAAGGAACAGAAATGTTTGACAGTTGCCAGGGTCTTGCCGTCACCTGAAGTGTTTTCTCATTGGTGGAACAAATAGTCTGGCTTCTCTTCAGATTCTATAAATCTTTCCCCTTCATTAGGAGAACAAACACATTGCCAATAATTTCTTGGTCTGTGACTCATGATCACACTATTTCACTAAAAACAACGTATGAATGACTTAACTCTAATATTTCAGTCCTATAATTTAGTACAAATGTATGTCTCTTTGCACATCTACCTAACTCCTGATTAAGCAATGGTACATTTTTAAAAAACTGTTGCTTTGCTCCAGTGCTGCCACCCAGGCTGGTAGTAACATCTGTTCTCTGAATTTCAGGAGGTGATACTGTCATGATAATTGCCAGCATGTTTATCATGATTATCTTGTAGCAAGACAGCCCCTGTCCTCTAAGGGTCTGCTGATTTGAAGACTAATTTTAGAAATCGACTTCCATTGGTACTATCCCCATGGTGCAGGAAGCTGGCTGAGGATGGGCTGATGGGGTAGATTCCTGAGGCTTGAATCTCAAAGGCCCAATTAGCATGTTTCTCAGGACTCACCACCTGGCTCTGCTCAGGCCCAGTACACCTGATACTGAATCTCCAAGTGGGCCAAGGAATCCACTTGCACCTGGGAATGTCTAAGGATGCTCCCTGTTTACAATGCAGGGCCAGTTTAAGATCATCCAGCCTTGATGCAAAGCTCTGGGACCTAACTAGGATTATATGAAGTCTGGCGCTTCACATTCTTCTGGATGGTTAAATCCTAGCTCCAGGACCCAAGTGAAAGGAAACATTAACAGGTAACCATAGTACATTACTTAACAGCATATTCTAAAAGAAGATGGTCTGACCATGAGACAGAACTCTTATATGAATGTCCCTAATATAGAGGCAGGATATCACCAGGACCAAGCCTCTTGTCTGCTCCCTTATCCCAAGGTGTCCTTGCCTGTCCTTTAAGATGAAGCAGTTATCCAAAGGAGTGCAGTGAATTGAGGGCATGGTGAGCTGGCCCTATGCAGGTCACAGGACTCAAGAAGTCATTTGCTTCTCCACAGAGAAAACCTGGTTGGCCAGTATTGTCTGGAGGGATTTTCTTTAGGGAAATTCCAGGTCTGGGGAAGACTGTAACTACCACCTGCATGTATCTCCTCATCTGGGCATCATAAGAATTCCATGAAGAGCATGACATTGCTGACCAATCAAAGGAAGGACACAAACATCACTGACCAGGGACTTGGACAGGAGCTGATCACACACCTCTCAGCCCTAAATTCAGTCCCTAAGAACGTTCACTTTTAATCCCTTGGGGATCCCAGGAATTCATTCTTAGCTACAGGACTCCATGCTCTGCATTTTGCAGATAAATACCGACTGTTCTTCCACCACTCTGATGTCAGTGATCGGCATAGGAGGAGGGGATCCAGGTATGGGGGTTCTATAGCAACTCCTCCAACTAGTTTTTTGGGCTTGTTCTGCAACAACCCAAAGTGGCTGAGTGTTCCTCTTCTGAGTGTCTATGGCCATGCTTGTCCATCCTTCTGTAATGTTTAGTCTTTCAATCTCAAAATGTAAACAGCATATTTTAATTTTGTACCTTTTTAAAGGTTCCTCAAGCCCAGGGCTAACTATGGCGATTCCCTCCCTTTTAGAGATTAAATGGAACACAACATAAGGGAGTTGTTGATTAATTTAGCAAATTATAAATTTCCTCTCCCTCTGACATTTAATTCCATGCTAATAGTTAAATCAAATGGGAAGAATAAGGAAGATATAGCACGGAGTTGTAAATCTGGCTAACAAAATGAACTTTCCCAGTCTGGAAACAGAAGAAGTTATTGCCTTAAAAGGTGTGCAAAAATATATCTCAGCTCTGGAAGGTGGTTTATGCCCTACGTGTTATCTGCACAGAAGAGGTGAATACTGAAGTAAGGACACCTCACCAGAAAAGCTGAGTTCATCCTGACCAAAGAAAAGAACACATTAAACTGAGCGGACACGATTCAAAAGTTCTTTTGCAGCTGAAGGATATGAGGTTGCTTCAAATTGCATTTCCTAGGCTGGAATAACACGAGGATCACAACGTTCTTTCCCCATCTTAGTCTCTACCCTCTAGTTCCCCTGATAGAGCTGCCTAATGAGGGGAAAAGGCACCCTGGCCCTCCTCAGGTAGAGAAGTGGGAATGTGGGTGGCAAACGTCCTGCCCCTGAGGTCTGGGCTGAGCCACCACATTCCTTTACCTTGCTCTTTGAAATGGCTGCTTTGCAAACAGGAGAAAAGGCTACTCCTTGTGATCGCCTAATGAAATAATAGCACTGGGCACTGCCTAGTCAGGCAGATTCAGCTTCCATGAGGCTGCTTGGAAGTGACTCAGGGTTATTTGAGTTCAGACACATTTGTAATGGAAATCGTGGCGCTTTGGGAATTTAGGGCAGGCAGATGAAGTTTGGAAGTGAAGTGTAATAGGTGAGAGTTGGACCATCCTTCTGCACTAAGGCATTTGTTTTTATGGCAGCTAAATGGTTGGGCAGTGGGAGGTCTATGTTTGCCCAACACTTGGGGCTCCTGCTGCATTATCGTTCCACTTGTGCACAGCAGGAGCCCTCCATAAAGTGGTTTGTTCCTGGCTCCACTTTCTTTCATTCGCGTTTGGGTTCTGGCAGCCACTGTGGAGTCCGCATTTCCAGCTTAAGTCCAAATCTGCAGAAAGCAGCATCTTCAAACTATATCTTTGTTTTTTCTTTTTCTTTTTGACAGGCAGAGTGGACAGTGAGAGAGAAACAGAGAGAAAGGTCTTCCTTTTCCATTGGTTCACCCTCCAATGGCCGCTGCGGGCGGCGCACCGCGCTGATCCGAAGCCAGGAGTCAGGTGTTTCTCCTGGTCTCCCATGAGGGTGCAGGGCCCAAGCACTTGGGCCATCCTCCACAGCACTCCCGGGCCACAGGAAGAGGGGCAACCGGGACAGAATCCGGCGCCCCGACCAGGACTAGAACCCGGTGTGCCGGCACCGCAAGGCAGAGGATTAGCCTAGTGAGCCGCGGCGCCGGCAGGGATGAATTCTTAAATTAAAATCCTCCAGGTAGGAAGATTGCTTATTAATGCTGTGCTACTTTCTTCAAGTTAAAAATTCATTATTGCTACAAGTCTCTTCTTGATTTTGACCCCTCTCTGTAACATCAGCCTCACTTTGTGTCATTCTTAGGTTACATTCAACCATCAGCCATAGAGTTTTCCACACAGTTCTCAGAATACAATGTGTGCTTTTGCTGCATAGGACATCACTACCATCATGATTGGCCGGGGAGCATTTTGTGACCTCCCGTCTCCATCTATTGGCTGCACTGCATCTCATCTTTCTGTTCTCAGGATGTTCTCTGCCTGTGTCTATCACAGGTCTTACCATACATTGTGGAGCATTTTTGCTTTATTCAATTGTAAGTCTACTACACCTCCAAAAAATGAATCAAAGGACTATGTATTTATCTCTAGCTTTTAACAAAGGGGCTGATATCTACAGACACATAGCAGAAAGTAAATATATGCTTTCTGCGTGATTTTAAAAATATAAAGTGAGGTGGTTGCTTGGCCTAATGGTTAAGACACCAGCATGCCACTTGGGAGTGCCAGAGTTTGACTCTTGGCTCTGTCTCCTGATTCCAGCTTCCAGCTGATGCAGACCATGGGAGGCAGCAGGTGATCACTCAAATAGTTTGGTCTCTGCCACTTACATGGGAAACCTGCATTATATTCCTGGGTCCTGGCTTGGGTCTGGCCCAGTCCTGGCCATTGTGGGTATTTGGGAAGTGAAAGTGGATGACTTCTCTCTCTCTTTCAATAATTAAAAATTTTAAACATACAATGAGAGTGAATTGTAAAAGGAAAACTATGATAGACATAGAACCAAATACTATCTTAGACACAGCAAACTTTATGTTTATGAAGATATTTCCAGAAACATAGCTCCAGGTTTGCCTGGGGAAGGCTTGGTTCCTTTTTGCATTGTCTTTGGGGCAAGAGTCCTGCTTCCACATGGGAGGGATGCCAGCCCCTATATGTTCCCCTACATTCTCTCTGCACCCTCCATAGAGTGCTTCTCATACTTCACCCTCCCTGGTAGTTCTGTTTTCCTCATCTCATCTTTTTAACTGAAACCTACTATTTCTATCATGGGTTTATATCTTCCACAGGGCATAGCAGAGTATTTTTGCATTTCTTAGACTCTCAAGGAATATTTGTAGAATGAATGAGATTAACAAATTATAATAATATATAATAATACATAATTAATATATCATAATATAATATCAGTTAAAATTATTCTTTATTTTTCTCTCAGGGTAATTATTCCCTTGTCAGCCCTTACACATGGCTCATTTGATTGTGTTTCATTTCAAGTGTTTTAAATATAACCTAAAAAAAGAGAAGTGAGTTCAATGAAGTTTTTTTCTTGTGTTCAGCATGCATATTGCTTTATGGATCAGGATGCTGAAGTCTTATCCTTATTGCACTGTTTATTAGTGTTTATAAGCTCTAGCTGAGAACACCTGGCTGGGCCATTATCTTATTTTCTTATTGGAATTTCAACACTTCAGTAGTTCTATTATATAAATATAAAGTGCCTACCCAAGGAGCTAGGAGAGAATGCTTACGTGAAATAATTCTTTAGCAACAGAAAGTCTTACACTCTAATCTAATCAACAATGAAAGATAACAGGAACAGAACTTGAGGTTTTAGCAGAGTTAGGAGTCAGCACTAAATTAAATGCAGTCAGAACATGAGTGCTCCATCCATTTTCAGGGGGGAAATATGTTTTCCCTTTTGAAAGCACTTTCACTGCCCACATAGTTATTCAGAATGAAATATCACTTCATAAGTGCTACAGTCATCATTCCCACTCTGGTAACTACTTTGTAAACAGAAACAAGAAGAGTCCTGTCTGTGGCAGTTCTTGGAGGAGTCTACTTTTTGTTAAAAATATGTAAAAGCAATCAATGTAAAATCATTTATTTAGCTTTTCCCCACTTCAAGATAGATGGATGCCTACTCTACTGACCAGAGAAATATAACTTAAATTATATCTCTATGGCTGCTAACCACGTTCGTTTATTTTAAATGTGAACTGGAGTCCTTCTGAAGGATGAGGTATGACATTTGAATATTTGCTATAGCGAACAAAACAGCGATTCACTCATTTATTCATCACACATTCTTGAAGTTAGTTTGGAGATAAAATATCCAATATGTAGTCATTAGGACAAGCAATGAATAAAACCTAAAAAAAATTCTCTGAGTCTAGAAAACTCATATTCTTGTTGGAAAAAAGAAACATGATATTTTCCAAAGTGATATGATAAGGGTTATCATGGATAGTTACATGATGTTAAGTGAGCCCAGAAAGGAAGGAAACTCAAGCCAGACTCTAAGGAGAAAAGGACATCTAAGATGGGTTTTGTGGTTAGGTAGGAGTTTTCCATACAGAAAACTTTTTTTTCCCCTCTTTTTCATAAGTATGAGAAAGGCAATCAAAGCATAGGGACCAGCATGTACAGTCACAGAAGGAGAAATGAAAATGGCATTTGGTAGCTAGGATAGTGATATTAAAAATTTTAGTAGTACCTGGGCAGAGTTCTGCTTTTAATTTCATGATGTAACTTGCAAAGCAGAATAATGACTATATAATAATGGGGGCGGGCGTGCATACCAAATTACACTTAGCTATTGGATGTTTACAAGGGCAGTCTCCATTATTCAATCAGTACAACACTGCGCATGTCCTAGAACAGATGCATTAGCTGTGGATGCCACTGCCTGAGAAATGTTGGCAAGTCCTTTAGGAAAGAGCAGACCAGGGGTTGTACTTACCGAGGAGCTGACTGTGGGGTCCGATCTCTGACTCCCAAATTTTTTGCTGTGTTTTGAACTCTTGCTCCCTGAAAGTCAGGAAAATCACCTTTAGCTCCATATTGTCCAATAAGTTATTTAACATGATATTAATATCTGAATGTAGAACTGCTATTCCAACAGCATTTAATACCAAGAGGTACTGGATGATGAGAAAGAGAGAAACCTTAGCACACTTAAGTAGGAAGACTAAGTCCTGGTGACCCGTGGCACAGCCAGAATGAACATCACCAACAACAGTGTGTTATTTATCTTCAAATAGTTAGATGTCCACCATGGGTGGGTGTCCCAAGTAGTGTCTTCACCACTGTACCAAATGCCTGCCCTGAGAATATTGTCTTCAATAGCTCTAAAGCAATTTCTAGGCAAGGTCTGCCCATGTGAATTTATGAATTCTAATTCTATCTAAAAGTTTATAGGACAAAGAGAATCTAGCAATGAAGAAGTCTTTATAAAAATCTGTCAAGATCACGAAAAGAGTTAACAATCCTTGCTCAGTTCTTCATGGAAATTAGCTGCTACAGGGAGCCACACACCATGGTCTGCGGCTGCAAAGAAGTGAAGGGGAGGTGTTGGAAAACTGAAACTCTCCAGTCATCAAATTCTGAACAAAGGAAAGGGAAGAGAGAAATAGAAGAAAGGAACAAAAAAGCTATTCTCTCAATATGGACCAAGTAGGCCGGTGCCACGGCTCACTAGGCTAATCCTCCGCCTTGCGGTGCCGGCACACCGGGTTCTAGTCCCGGTTGGGGCGCCGGATTCTGTCCCGGTTGCCCCTCTTCCAGGCCAGCTCTCTGCTGTGGCCCTGGAGTGCAGTGGAAGATGGCCCAAGTGCTTGGGCCCTGCACCCCATGGGAGACCAGGAGAAGCACCTGGCTCCTGGCTTCGGATCAGCGCGGTGGGCCGGCTGCGGCGGCCATTGGGAGTTGAATGAACGGTAAAGGAAGACCTTTCTCTCTCTCACTGTCCACTCTGCCTGAAAAAAAAAAAAAAAAAAAAAAAAAAAAGCTGGACCAAGTAAAAGAAACCAAATAGGGAAAGGGAAGGGGTAGAGAAATGGCCAAAAACATCTGAGAAGGAATTTAGAAATTGCAGTAAGTAACTAAACAAACTTTGTAGTTTGAAGTAATTTTAGAATTAGAGAAAACATTATAAAAACAGAATAGAGAATTTATAGACTCAGCTTCCCTAATGCTAATCCTTCACTTCACCATACAGTATGATGATCAAAATCAACTTCCAACATTATTAGAATGTCACCATTTCCCCATTAATATTCTTTTCCTATTCTAGGATCTCATACATTTTGTTTTAACATCTCCTTCGTCTCCTCAAATCTGTATCAGTTCCTTTGTTTTTCCTTGTCTTTGGCACTTTTGATAAGTATTGGTCATTTATTTTTAGGATGTCTCAATTTGAGTTTCTATGATATTTCCTCTGATTAGATAAGGAAAATGCATTTTTTGGCAGGGAAATCACAGAACTCATGTTCTTCTCTTCTCAGTGCATGATATTAGGGGCACTTGATGTGTGGATTATTGTAGGTGACATTAGATTCGATGACTTGGTTAAGCGGGATCTGCCAGACATTTCCTCTTTCCATTGCCACCTTTCTTTTCCTGGTTAATAACCATGTTGGTGGTGATAACATGACACTATGCAAATGTCCTGTTTCTCTTTAAACTTGCTGACTGGCTTCAGCTTCCATTGGTACCTCTTTTCTGCAACAAGGATATTGCAATGCTTATGAACCAGACTGTTTCTGGAAAGAAGAGTTTTTCCTTCTCCCCAAATTACTTATTCAATAATACATCTGAGTTGGTATAGACTCATAGATATTTCTTTTATTCTATGAGATATAATCCAGTAAATCCAGTATTTTTTGCTCAAATTGTTCCAGATTTGGCCATTAGGAGACATTTCTGGTTGTTTGTTGTCCATTTGATATGTGTTCATCATTTCCTACTACTTCCTTATCTTTTGTCATTTCCAGGTGTTCCACCTTCATCACTGTATAGGTTGGTAATTCACCATTTCTCCCAGGGTCTCTGGCTCTTTTGTTAGAGGATAGTATTAGTGTGGGGAGCAACTCGGACTAGACTAAGTTACTGGAATTAAGACTTATTCTATGCATCTGCTCTCCCACAATATGGCGCTGGGAGAGGAGGCAACAGCTTCTACCCAGCTGCCTCTCACCAACTTGACAAGCTGCAGGAGCTGCTCCTGATTGGAGGAGAGCAGCGTACTCGGCGTGTGGGCAGCCAAGTTAAGATTGGCGGAGGAGGACTATAAAGGAGGAGAGAGACGGCATGCACCAGGAACATCTAAGGGGAACATCTAAGGGGAACACCTGTGCAGCCCCCGAGAGAGCCGGCCGGCGGTGTGCCGCTCCCCTGCGGAAGTGGGGAATGTGGCAGGGGGAACCGCCCTTCCACGGAGGTGGAAGGGACAGTAGCCAACCCGGGAAGAACCAGCAGCAAACCCGGGGAGGGCCGAGCAGACGAAAAGAACAGCGCAGGGTCCTGTGTTGTTCCTCCACGAAGAGGGGGAGCGACAATTAGGAGCCAAATTTTGAATTCTGGATGTGCTTATTACTATTAGTGATAATGGCTTCCGGGCAAAAAGATTCATTTACTAAATAGTACACCAGGCTGACTTATTAATACAAACATAGTTTCACGTCTATATTCATTTCTGAATCTGCCCATATCTGTATGTGTATTGTGTGTGAGTTTATGTTTCATTTCATATTGATGCCTCTTATTTCAATGCAGCACCCCAGGGTTCATTCTAGATTCCAACCCTCTCCTTTTCCTAATTTGTAACTTTGTCAGACAGTGCAAAACCAGCCTCTCATTATTTGCAGTATGTTTATCTATTTATTCAATTCTAGAGTACACATTGATATGTTTTAGAATTTCTAACCAAACATCTGTGAAAAAAAGATTTACTAACAAGAATCCCATGTTCCTGTAAATTCTATTGTCTCATAATATTACATTAAATAAGTTATAGAAAAATTTTCACTTTCTCAAAGGACTTCAAATAAATTTACCCTACTGAAGAAATCCACTGGCATATTTGACTTTGAATTCAACTATACAATGATTCATATCCTCATCGTGCTACCTATTACATCTTTACATATTTGCTGATTTTGCTGCCCATACCTAAACACCCTCCCTGCCTCCTTCCCTTCATTTATCCTCCATTACTCAAATAAAATATTATCCTAGCCAGCTAATAATTGGTTGGCACTGTTATGAGGGCATTAAATATGCTGATTTATTTAATCTTCTGAATGACACTATGAGACAAGCAATATTAATATTATTCATGCTTTAATATGAGAAATTTAATAAAAGAGAGGCTAAGAATCTTGCCCAAAATCACAGAAACAATAATCACTAGAGCTGGGATTCAAATTGAGACTGTTTGTTCTACAGACTGTGCTTCAGTCATTACCAAATACCCACTTTCTGCATGCAGCCTTTTCCTAGCTACCCTGGTTAGAACTGGAGAACCATTTGGCATTTACTCTGTGCCAGGCACAAAACTACAATAGCAAAATGAGTAAGACTCAGTGTTCCAGCCATTGAGGTTCTCAATTTGGCTACTTTCCCCCTGTTCTGTGTCCTGATGCACAGAGACTGGACATCCCTTACAACACTTGCCTATATCTTGGTGATTTGCCTGTATGTGTCCAACATGAGACTAAACACGAACCATGCCATCCCCATGTCTCTGTTTTTAATGCTTACTAAGATGCCTTGCTTCTATAGGTAAGAAACCAAGATATTATGGAATCTCAGTTTTTATTTACAAGGACAAGAAGAAATTTCTGTATAGGTATCTACCAAGGAACAGTGGAAATGTATGATATAGAGCACAGGAAACAAACTTCTAATGTATATGCTTTTCATTGATCAGATCAGCTAGTTATGAAAAACTGCTGCCTATGGTTATTATTATCATTACCAAAATATTAAAAAGGGCATTGTGCTTTTTTTCTCTTCTCTTTCATCTTTCTTTAAAGTCAAGTTATAAGTTAGAACAATTCTATAACAAATACATATACAAAATTTGTGAATGGAAAATAATACTACAATTATACATAAAACAACAGATCTTGCCAGAGTTCTAAAGAGAAGCCAAAGATCTCCATTTTTTCATTATATTATTCATTCTATATTTATGTATAATATTGTAAAGATTTATTTGTTTATCTGAAAGGCAGAGTGACAAGGAAAGAAAGATACACACACACAACACACACAATCTACCATCTGTTGGTTCACTTCCCAAATGCCCACAATAGCCAGAAACTAATCGAGTCCCCGATGTGAGTGGTAAGAATTCAAGTGCTTGAGCCATTATCTGAAGCCTCCCAGATACATTAGTTTGAAGCTGCATTGGAAGCAGAGGTGGGACTTGACCATGAATTCCGATTTGGGATGCATGCATGTGTCCCAAGCAGTGGCTTAACAGTGCAATAATGCCTACCCTCAAACATATAATAATAATTCCAATTTGATAAGCTAGTCATTCAAATGCTCCAGTATATACCAAAGATGGCAAATATTTTAACCACTCCATCTCTGGAGAGCTGAATCCAAGTGGGTAGGTGAATTCCCCTGATGTTGAGAGGCAAACAGGACAGAAGGTTGCCATGAGGTCTTTGATTGAGGTATGCATTCTAACTGCTCAGCTCATGAGTGGGTAGGCAGAGTTGGCCTGTGGATTGGATCCCAGTTACTAAGTCCCACTGCCTGCCACTATGATTCCTGGAGAGCAGAGGAGCAGCAAGTGGAAGCTGATGACGCTGTGCACCAGGAGGGTCCCCAGCTCTAGAGAAGTGACGAATCAGTTCCTTGCCTCTCACAGCTGTTTGGGATACCACAACTTGGAGCAGAGAAAGAACTAAGGAACAACGCAGGAAGAAAGCCATCTGTTTTAAATGTACTTATTAAAAAATAGGAGTAAGGAGTGATAAATACCAAAGAAAATAGTGCAATTTAGAAATAAACAAGGATTTTATAAGAAACTACAGGACTCTGGGGCCAGTGCTGTGGTGCAATGGGTTAATACTCTGCCTGCAGAGCCGGCATCCCATATGGGTTTCAGTCTACTCTTGGCTGCTCCTCTTCCAGTCCAGCTCTCTGCAATGGCCTGGGAAAGCAGTAGAAGATGGTCCAAGTCCTTGGGCCCCTGCACCTACATGGGAGACCCAGAAGAAGCTCCTGGCTTCTGCCTTTGGATTGGCTCAGCTCCGGCTGTGGCGGCCATCTTGGGGAGTGAACCAGTAGATGGAAGACCTTTCTCTCTTTCTCTCCCTCTCACTGTCTGTAACTCTACCTCTCAAATAAATAAATAAAATCTTAAAAAAAGAAACTATATGACTTTTCAGCTTTATTTTATATAATATATAATATAATGTAATACTCTGTAAACATAATAAACAAATATATTTATCTCACATTTTAAGGAGCTCTGCATCAGTTAAATGAGTCATTAGGGCCTACATAATATCAACTTCATTTTTATGTTCATTTTCAGTTTTTAGAAATTAAATTATTAACTATAATTATTATTTCAGTGTTCAATTCATAATCTATGATAGTGGAATATTGTTTAAAAACATGAATCCCAGTCTTTTTCTTGCCACAAATCATAATTCTGAGATGGTTCTTCTAAGACTTCCTGCAAACTTTACTGGCAACACAGTAAAACAGAAGGACAGTTAATTTTTTTCTGCCAAGTTTTAGCCACGCCAATCCCAACTCTGATAAGAATAATAACACGTTTACTTTGATCTACTTTTTAAAACAGACTTTGTATATCTAGCCCGCTAACCCCCAATCCCAGCTTTTAGAAGCCAGCTGGCAATGTGCATCTCTGTTAGCTCTTAGCCACATGCTTTTGGTGGATCTAACCTTTACTTAGCTAATCCCTCTTGGACCCTTGGTATTCTTTGTTTTCAGGCTCATGGGTTCCTAACCAGAGGTGCCAGCAAATATGCTCTCACGGTGCCCAATCCCTATACTGCAGAAGCCTGCTTGCTTGTAGCCCCTTCTGTTGATTTATTTCATTGGCTTGGTTGACATTCTGTATGTAATCTTAGGAGTAAGCCCAAGGAGATTTACATGTTTGCCTGAGAATTTTACACTAAGTCTCTAATAAATAAAGCAGTCATAATTATGAAAGCATATTTTAAAAATTAGATCACTCACTGTGACTGGCCAACCCAAGCCAAGTTAGCAAGGAAATTTATTATTGTCAAGATTTATTTATTAATTTGAGAGGCAAAGTGACACAGAGAGAGGGAGTGTGTGTGTGGGGAGGGGGTGGGAAAGAGAGAGAGGATATGAATCTTCCATCTACTGGTTCATTCCTCAAATGGTTGCAATAGTCAGGTTGAGGCTAGGCTAGGTTGAAGCCAGAAGTCCAGAATTCCCACATGGGTGGCAGGGGTCCAGGTTCTTGGGCCATCACCTGCTGCCTTTCTAGGCACATCAACAGAAAGCTGGATTGGAAGGAGTAGCTGGGATTCGAACCAGTGCTCCTATATGTGATGTCTGTGCTTTGTGGCTATCTGGCTCTTATGGCCTGCACCAAAACATGAATCTCTAAGTCAATTTTCAGTGGCAGCCCAAAGAAAAGATGGCAGAGCAAAATATGAAATTGTCTTTCAATCTGTCTTTCTATGGGTTATGTGTATTTTCTACTATGTTAAATATTTTTTAATCCGTAAATTTGAGAATAGTGTATTTTTGTTGCTTTTAAAAGAATATAAAGGGTTAAAAGTTAAAGTACTGCTTTTAAAATATTGTTTGGTTACTGAAAAAAGGTTCATTCCAAATATAAGAGAGCATATTCTCATCTACACATGCTCCAGTGACTGACAGTCCAGAGGCTACTATTATCCTCTAAAGGAAAATTTGAGGTCACTATTTTATACTTGGAATAACTTCCACACTTCTTAGCATGGCATGAGCCTGCCAGAAGCAAGCAGGGCCCTCAATTCTTTCTTCTTCTTCCTTGCCTCTGTCTCTCTCCCAATTTACTCTTCCAGCCTTACTCAATCACCTACGATTCCCGGAAAATTTGTGATGTCTTTCTATCTTGTAGAAAAGAGATGTTAGCCCCCACTGCACTCCTGCTCTATTCTGCTTGACCTCCATTAGGTTACTGCTTTCATATCTCTCCCTCCAGAGTTAAGAGTCTTGGAGAACCCTCATCCAGGTATCTGTACTGCCTTCTTGTTGGGAGTGTTTCTCATTCTGGAATCACCCTCTAAGACTGGAAAAGTGCCTGTCACATCCAGGCACCTAGTAGACACCTGATAAATGAACAAAGAAAACCTCAAATCCAGATCCTGTGAAACAACTCCTCTAAAATATGCCTGAGTCTTACCTGCTTTCGCATCACATCCGTAGCCTGCATGATGTAGCGAGGAGGCAGTCCGTGGCTTCTGGCCAGGATGATAGCCTGCTCCAATGTCACACTTAGGGTGCACCTGTGAGCCGAGGCAAGGATAAGTTAGACACCATGAGACCCCACTGGTGCCTCACACTGTTCAGCACAGTTCAGGCCTCACATTTCAAAATCTGAAAGCACCAGCCAAAATCAAGGTGGCTAGACAAGAAACTACTGATTTTTCTACAGAAAACACTTGTTTAAAAATAGGTTCTACAGGTACCTTACTGGGATCATAAATCAAATATTTACATGGAGAACAAACCCAAATCAAGTATTTTTATGAGAGTACTTGTCCACAGAAAATGATGTGATCAGAATAAATACAAATTTTATATTTAAATATTATTCTTTATTCATAATTTGTGCAATTGGAAGAAATGACTTTATAATATTTATCATTTATTTCTATATACTTATAGTTAATAGAGTTATACTGATGTGCATAAAACTCTTAGAAAAATATACAGTGAAATTACTATTCACTAAGGTCAGGGTCAACTTTAAAAAATGTGTTTCTTGGACTTCATTTGAAATATTACTTGTAAAAGTTTCCAAAGGAACTTGCAATTAGTTATCTTGAAATGTAGTACCCAGAATAACCCTGAGAAGTGCTGTAACCAGTGTTCAGTGCTTGGTGAACCTTCACGAATTTCCCTTTCCCCTTAAGGCATTTTGTTTATGTTCTTTTTCCTTTTTTTTCTCGGCGGTAACCCTGAACTCCTATGTTTGTTTACTTGTTAATATTTTCTGGTGCTGGTCTCTGAATTGTATTTTTATGAGTATCTTTTGCATATCTTTCATAAAATACAAATTAATTTTAGAAAGTTTTCCTAAAACTCTTATCAGTAAATTTTAGTTTTTTAATTTATTGATAATTTCTTTAGTTTTTAAATCAACTTTTGCATTTAACTTCCTATGGTTTGGTGTTTTACTCAGATACACATATTTTTATAGATCTGTCTAGTATTTTTCCCTATAAATGACAGTAAATTCCACAATGCATTTGCTTCTATATGAGGAATATCCAATTCATTTTCTTTGGTTATAAGGCAATAACACAGATGCACAATACATTTGGTCAATTTTAATGCTAAATTACGGAAAAGCTTACTGTTGTAATATGACACAGAACTTGACAATGTGTGACTTTTATTGCACATGACTGTATTCTAAGGAGAAACATGTTAAGTTCCATTGGTTGTTAAATGACTTAAAGCGGCGTACTCATTACCATCACACAGAATTCTTTCGAAGACGTTAATAACACATGTTCAGATGGGCCAAAGTTGTATAATTAGTTTCTAGTTGTAGGCGACATTCACAAACATTTGGAGCATGAAGTCTGACATCAACACACACTGTTTTATATGCACATGCCCGCCACAGAACAGGCTATGGCAGTGCAGGTCAACCGTGTTTGGGCAGTCCATATTTAAAAACCAATTTTCTACAAAGCATTTAATTGTCAGCCTACTTAATAGACCACAACCTTTTCTCTTCCTTAAAGTCTCTTCTATTCCAATTTGAAATCTTTATTGATCCTACATTTCAGGTAATAACACTCATTACACCAGCTGCGCGAAGCTAAGAAAGAAAAACCTTTATCTTTTTCTAATCGTGCTGAAAAATGTCTGTGTTTTTCTGATAAAGCATGACTGACCCCACTCATCACACACACAATGAACAGTTTAATCAGGCCACCTTTAATTTTTAATCCATTTTCTTAAACCTTTTGAAACTGATTTATTTTTCCCTACTTCAAGTTGTAGCAAATAGCAGTATAGCAGCAAATTATCTGTCAGAGACTTTAAAGGATTTTACTACAATTGGTAAATCAATGAAGCGAGTAATATGCTCTTTGGCTCAAAGTGTCCCTTCTTCACAACGAATCACACATCACCTAATAGAAAAATCTACCTTGAAATGGATATGTACATCTTCTTTCCCCGTGATAACAATAACATGTGGTTACACCTATATTTAACTTCTCCTACTAAATACCCTGTTTACTTCAATTAGGTCTCAAAATTAACTTGAAAAAAAAATTTTTTGACAGGCAGTGTTAGACAGTGAGAGAGAGAGAGAGACAGACAGAGAGAAAGGTCTTCCTTCCGTTGGTTCATCCCCCAAATGGCCGCTACGGCAGGTGGGCTGTGCCGATCTGAAGCCAGGAGCCAGGTGCCTCCTCCTGGTCTCCCATGGGGTGCAGGGCCCAAGCACTTGGGCCATCCTCCACTGCCTTCCCGGGCCACATCAGAGAGCTGGACTGGAAGAGGAGCAACCAGGACAGAAACGGTGCCCCAACCGGGACTAGAACCCGGGGTGCCAGTGCCGCAGGCAGAGGATTAGCCTAGTGAGCCGCGGCGCTGGCCTAATTTGAAATTTTTAACCAGTGACAAATTTTAAGAGGCAACTGTGTAAACATAGTAAGAGTTGTCTGTATATTCAGGTCAGTGGACCTCGTGGAGGCCTAGTTTTTCTACTCGTAGCTTCACAGAATCCCATCCCCCTCAAAGAAGCATATGAGAGAAAGGCTAGCAGTGAGTCCACAGCTTCGCAGTCAATTGGCCATTACCTGCCTCATAGCTTTTTATCTTCTCCACTATCTCAATCTGGATGGCAAGGGGAAAAATTCAACGTATGCTAGAAGCACTTTGATTCTGGCATTTTTTGAAAAACTCTGGGTAAAGAAAGTGGCACAGGGTTTTACAGTGGCACATAAATGTATGCTTAGAGTCAGGAGTTAGAGGAGACCATTTGATTTTACAGATACATTTGATTACCAGACAGACTTATCTGGGAATCTTGGCCTAGACAATGAAAGGAGCAGAGTAAAGGTTGGGAATGCTAAGCAAATCCCATTTGGTACAAGGTGTCTTGCCTGATCCATCTGTCCCAAGCTCCTTTCTAGCAGTCTCTGTTTTTACTTTGGACATTTAAATTAAAATCCAAAGCAATCCGCATTTTTACCCTATCTGGAAAATGTGGGCCTTCTATTTTCTAGATACTTCTAGCTGCAACATAATTTGAAAAAAATCAGACAACTCTGCATCTCACACAAGTAACAAATACATGTCACTGAGTAGCATTTGTCCTTAAACAAAGGAAAATATATACATGGAAGAAAGTTTTCTCATAATTTTCATATGAAGATATTTCAAGTAATGGTTCTGCATAGACTACGTGACAAAGACATAAGTGAGATGGCAAAATTACACACACACACACACAAACACACACACACAAATACCAATTTCCCTATAGACAACAGAAGGGGTCAATACATCTGTGTTTATAATTAATAAACTTTCTTGACATACTTCACATTGAGAATACATTTCAAACCACTGGAATATTTAGCATACTTTTATTATGATAAATGTAACCTGTAGATAATGGATGTGATTTAATAGGAAAGACACTTAGATTTGCCAGTGCTATGGATGGCACACAAAGTAACAGAAGAAGAGTTTCAATTCAGTTATTCAACAAATATTTTTTGAATGTCTGCTTTGCATCTTACAAGTACCATTACATGCTGGCAGAAGTGGCTTTACTGTGAAGTGAAAAAAGCTTTGAGCTTCAGGATCCCTTTCTTGTGTGGATCGCTTTCAGGTTTCTGGGAGGAGCCCTAGCAATGTGCTTATCTCACATGCTTTTAGATACCTGCAGAAGCAAAATGTTTCCACTGAAAATGGTTCTGTCTTTTGTCTTCTTTACTTCCTAGCCTCCCTCTCACATGTTGGGTAGTGTTCATATGGCCTAAGTTATTTCTGGAGCTGAGTTTTGAAAAAAATGAGTTAAGCACGCTTTCAAGGTAGGTTTACTTGGACCTATTTATATAATTCACAGTTACTTCCATTTACATTAAGGTTATTGTAATATCCTGGTGGAGGAATGACTTCTATTCCAAGTATTGCTATTGTCTACTGTATAGAGCTATTAAATGTCAAAAAGGAAGTACAAAGTCATTGGTTCTGATGAAATATGCCCGTATCTTGGGGCTCCCAGGACTTGGAAGTGTTTGTGCAGTAGAGAAGAAACAAGATTGGCAATCTGAAGAGCCCGAAGCTATTCTATGGAAAATTCTTCGAAACATTATGGTTCATATGCTAAGTAAACTTACAGACAACATCTTAATGATTTACAGGACATTAGCATTTGTACATTTTGATGTTGAAATGCTTTTCTAAGTGATAATTTTAAATTAATCAAGCATGCTAGAGAAAAGACAGAATATTTTTTCCATTCTCTTTATAGAAAAATGTTACAAAGTTGCTTTAATTTTAAGAGGCAAAGCATATGTTACCAAAAATTATGGGGAGTAAAGTGTAGCTCAATTAGTAAACTAATAAAATATTATTTTTCTAGATTTCATAATGTTCTAATGTTTGCCAGTCTTTAAACTTCACAATTTGTTTTTTTCTGGTATTCTGATAAATACTAATGTAATTTCTCTTTTCTTCTGTAATTGTCTAATTTTTTTTGAGGAGGTCACTCAACTTCATATCCCAAAATCTCAATCAATTCAGTGTTTTTGGGCTGCAAGTGTGAAAAAAATACATGTCTCATTCCTAATGGTGATCAAATTTTAGTGAGAAGAAAAAGAAAATAAAGAAGCAAATATCAGGTGGAGATAGGTTATCTGGAAAAGTAAATTTTGTAGCAGAGTATGATGTGAAATTTATTAACAGAAGATGGAAGGGCAGAGAAAAATGGTATTTCTTTTTTTTAAAGATTTTATTTATCTAATATTTGAGAACCAGAGTTATAGGCAGTGCGAAGGAGAGACAGAGAGAGAGATTTTCCATCCACTGGTTCACTCCCCAAATGGCCACAATGGCAGGAGCTGGGCCGATCTGAAGCCAGAAGCCAGGAGCTTCCTCCAGGTCTCTCATGCAGGTGCAGGAGCCCAGTGCTTGGGCCATCTTCCACTGTTTTCCCAGACCATAAGCAGAGAGATGGATCGGAAGAGGAGCAACCAGAACTAGAACTTATGCCCATATGGAATGCTGGCACTGCAGGTGGAGGATTAAC